CGAGTTTTTGACTAAAGTAATGAAATTAAAAAGTCCAATTACCAATGAGATGGGACACAGCAATTGTGCAGTGTAAACAGACCCATTTCATCTATTTAATGTTTTAATAAAATATTAGCTAAACTAAGTATTGCTTTAAAGTCGTCTTCCTAATTCACAGTTTGCTGGTTATCACTGTATCATACTTATTTAGGAAAATGAAATTTAGTTTGACATTTTTTTTTAAATAAAAAAAGACAAAAATATGAAAACTGTAGGAGCTAAGAGGTTGCAAAGTTTGTACCAGTATATCCGTTGAAGAATATTCCCCTAATGTTGTAAATTGAATGTTTCTTCTGTTATCATGCGAGATGATAAGAGAAGTATTTTCTATTTTGAAAAATAAGATGAGAAACTAGCCAAGCAGTGATAAGTAACTTTTCTCAAAGTAAATTAAATACTAACTTCTGAAAAGGAAGAAAAATAATGTTTTCATTAAACCAGGGATCCTTGGAAGTTAAGTTCATTCATCATTTATTTTGAGGGTCTTAATCTATATATAAATTTGGCTTGTTTGTTTGTTTGTTTGTATCCAAGTAACATCATAACGGCTGAACTGATCGGCCCAAATTTTTTTGTGGGACATCACGAGACCACAGGGAAGGTTTGTGAATGATAAAAATAAAAAAAAATATGTTTTAAAGGTATTTAATTTTGTAAAAAAATTTAAATTCTTGAAAATTCACAAATTTTTTTTAAAAATCCGCAAAAATTTTTCTTCTTTGTTTTAAAATGTAAGCATAAAGAACATGTTCACAATTTAAATAGAAGATGGGCGCGAAGCACCCTAAAAGCCTAGAAAGAAGGGCACGAAACGCCTTGAATTTCTAGCATGTTAATATTTTTTTTCTTGATTAAATGTTGTTACTTTAATTCAAATAAAAAGTATAAAAAAAGTTTAGGTAACATTTTCAGAATTGATTTTTAGTTACCAATTAAAAAAAACATTTTAAATATAAAAGAATTAAGAAGATTTTTTTCATTCCTCTTTTTCATGGTTCTCACTGGATTTTGTAATATTATAGTGTAAAAAGATTGAGAAAGATATCTATATATATTTTGAAATATTAAAGTGTAAAAAGGTTGAGAAAGATATCTATACATATTTTGTAATATTATAGTGTGAAAAGGTTGAGAAAGATATCTATATATATTTTGTAATATTATAGTGTGAAAAGGTTGAGAAAGATATCTATATATATTTTGTAATATTATAGTGTGAAAAGGTTGAGAAAGATATCTATATATATTTTGTAATATTATAGTGTGAAAAGGTTGAGAAAGATATCTATATATATTGAACTAAGATTTATAAAAGATGATCTCATTTACTTAGGATTTAGTCTGCATTAGATCAAATGGTTGGGATTTGGAGAAATGTACTTTATTATTCTTAGGATCAATTCCAAGAGCTTAATAGGACTTCAGTACACTGAATAATATTTATATATATATAAAGTAGTAATCTCTGTTTGTTTGTTTTATGTCCGATCATAACTCAGGAATCCCTTGACCGATATGCCTCAAACTTTTATTGGGGAACTAGGGAGAATTACGCGAATGTTCTTTGCTTGGTTTTGAGATTATTTTATTGAGGGAAAAATAGCTAAAATCGTAATTTACGACCTAGTGCGGGTAAACGGCAGGAGTAACAATGAGTATCCTGGGCAACGCTGGGTTCTCAAGCTAGTAAATGTATAAAATGCGGCTAAAAAATGAAAATAATAAAACAAAGAAACCAAACACAAGCCTAAATCTCAAGTTTTCTAATCGCTTTTTCTTTTCAACATGCATGGGATACCCTTTAATATCTCAAACAGCAATTGATTGGCATTCGAAACTTTAAATCAAGTGTTCGGTTCCTAAATACTTAAGTTAGAGGTTCATTACAGGAAAGAAAAAATTAAATATTACTTCGTGATCAAACCTGAGCTGAAAACTTAGAATGAGATATCCTTAATCCGGATCGCTTAATCTGAGTATCCAATATACACACTTTTGATTTTATTTTTATTCCTCTTTTTTGGATATCCCTACTGTATAAAAGTTACGTTTGATAACAATTACAGATACAATGCTATATCGATTGAACTAATATCCGATTGAATTAAAGTCAACTGTTCACAAGCCGGCTTTTAGAGCATTTGAGCAAAAATAAATTTAATCATGTTCATATAAACCTATTAAAAATATATTTTATCAGATTTTAGGACTAATCATTTTAAACGAAGCTTAACAAACATCAATCCAAAACTTAAATTTATTTAATCGATGTTTAGTTCAGTTGATATGACACAATTAACACCAGAAAAAAAACCGGGTTTTCAAAGGTTAAAGAAAACATCTTAACATGATACGCCGATTGGTTGAATTTTATACTTCTTTCTTGGATATCGAATGGGTATTAAAGTAATCTCGGGTTTATTAAAACCAGGAGTTTAAGCATTAATCTTGATATCCATCATTCTAAAGTTTTCATCACTGATAAGTTAATTCTGTAAACAAGTTTGGATTAAACAAACATTTTCCACAAAATTAAAGATTTTAGTATATTGAAATATAAAATAATAATTTCATTTAATAGATTTGATATTACATATATTAAAATAGTTTTTTACGATTTGTGGTAGAAATATTTTGAATTGAATGTAAGATATATCAATCCCTGCAATCTGGATTCTTTAAATAAAAACAAAATTTTATTGTTAAACATACTTTATTCACTTGAAGCTTAAATGGGTAAGTTATATTAAAGTACATTTTAACATAAGATCACCAGATATTATTGTTTCATGAATTTTTATTAACCAATCACAGCTGTTGTTTGGTTTGGCTAGCTAGCCTAAACAGGTTAGAGATTAGAAATTATCACGTCCCGTACCTAGAGATGGGCGTGTTCGGTTTCTTTTTATTTAGTTCGTTCATCTTTCGTAAACAACCATATTCTTAGATTTTATTTTAAATCTTTCAAAATAAATGAATTTTGCTAGTTTTTTAAATTATCATTCATTTTCCTTTTATTTCGTCTGCTTTGTTAATTAACGATTGTTTGGTAGAATCGTTCGTTCAGTAAAATTGGTTGTTTAATGAAATTGTTCATTCATTAAACAAACCATCCTTTTTTTCAAGTTTGTTCAAACATTTTAAAATCAGTCTTTTTCTTCGTTTATATATATAAAATGATAGTTTTTTATTTCTCTGAACGATCCAAGTTGTTCGTCTATTGTAAATGTTTTCTTAATGACACCATTGTTCATATGTACCCCCGCGGCCAAAACGGGATCGGCAATGCATCACGTTGTTGATTTAATTACAAAATTTCTAAAAGATGTATTGAATTTATTAGACATAAATTTGAACAAATGTAAAGATTTTATTTGTAAATTAAGGTTGATTCTTTTTTGATTAAGTATCAGTATTCAAAAATACATTCTTTTCTAGTCACTATTTTAATTAATAGAAGTTAAAAACTTCCAAGAAGGCATGAAGCTTTAAGTCATTTTTCAATCAAATCCAGGCCTCGAATAAGCATCACATGTCTTGTAATAACAGCATGTACTGACACAATCCTATGGTACAGTACGTCGCCCTAATCAGACTAACATACGACAGGGGTCAATATTCTTGGCATAGTCCCATTGGAGGGCTAACTATGACAACTCCCATGGCGCGTTCAGACTTTTTACAGTACCCGGCCTAATCCTAGGCCTATTTGACCGACCCCACTGGCTTAGTTCACCGTGTCGGATAAGATAAGATAAGATAAGATAACGTTTATTGCTAAAATAAATGTATCTGTATACAGATAGAGTTTACAATCACAAAATTGATGATTATATAGAATAAGTTAACCCGGTGTTGGGTTGTCGGTCAGTTTAATCCGGGAGCTCACAAAGACACGTCCGGTCAGCTCGGATAACTACACTACACTGATAAGCATTGCAAATTTAGGGCTGGGCACGTTCCGACTTTTTTGAAATCATTCCGTTCCGTTCTAGAACTAGGGCCTTCAGCTAAATCGTTCCGTTCTCATTCCTTTTTTTGTATCGTTCCGTTCCATCCTGTTCCGTTCCGTTCTGAGTAGAAGAACGGTCTTCCCTTTCCGTTACGTTCTTGGTGTTCTTATTTAAAGAACGGTTCCATCCCTCTCGTTCCGCATCTTAATCAAAGAACGTTTCCATCCCCCCGTTCCATTCTTAGTATAGAACGAAAACGAAAAACGGGTTACCTTAGAAAAGGGGGTGTACAATTTGTAGATTTTTGAAAAATATTTAATTTTCATAATCAATATTTCAATAATATCAAAAAGAAATAGAAACAAATTATAGAAAACACTTTCTTTCAACCTAAATTCTCTCCACCCCCCCCTTCTCCTTTTTCCCCTTTCAGCTCCCATTCCTCAAGAATGTAATGCATTAAATCCTTGCCATTCCTTTTCTCCGCCCCCTACCGGCTAAACCCATGTATCCCCTTACCTACTCTTGTACTTTTACGTAGCAACACATACTTACGCATAATTATATTCTTACGCTTTTATAACCGTATTTTTTCCCTTTTACCCCCCCCCCCTCCTTACTTTCCTATATTATTGTGTCTAATGTCATTTACAATAATTCTATCTTTCAATTTCCGTTCATTATACATACAGAGAAAATCTGAAGTGGAAACACATTCCTGATTTAAAATGCGTTCCCATCTTAGAACATGTTCTTGAAAATAAGAACGAGTTAACAATTTTAATCGTTCTTTTCAAGCAATTCCCGTTCCGTTCCGTTCTTTTACTAATCGTTCCAAAATTTTTAAGAACATGTTCTAAGCGTTCGTTTTCTTTCTGAACGATGGGATCGTTCTTGATCGTTCTGTTCGTTCTCGGGAAAGAACAATCGTTCCACCAGGAACATGCCCAGCCCTAATTGCAATGCCTTGTAATTATTCTCTCTAAAATCTTTATTTTATGTTCAGGCAAAAATGAAGACTTGCTTTCTTGTTTTAAGCATAGTTGTTATACTCTCATTTTCTGAAGGTAGGGGTTTAAAGAATAATATTAAGAAGTTAATAGACAAATCCATAAACACTAAATATCAGATTTAGATTATTTACTCAGTCCTCATTATTTAAAGAGCATAAATTCAAATTTTTATCTGATCAAATGTGGAAAATTTCTAGTTTCCATCATATAAAGCAGAAATTTTCTGTAGTTAACATAATTGAATTAAAAAATTAAAGAAAAAACTCATATTAAAGGAAAATGCAATGTTTCTGAATATGTTACATAATTTTTTTCATTTTATGTTTTCAAGCCTTTATAAGTTGGAAACATTTCACATTAAATGACATAAACAAATAACTTCAGGCTTTATGTGCTTATAAGCAGTAATGCTGGCTAATGCAAATAAAATAATTTTATGCTGAGTTATTTCTGATTTGATTTCAGGTGTAAAAATCACTGATAGCATGGAAAGCATAATCAACCTAGCAAAATCTCTTCTGCTTCAGTCTGACATGACTGCACGACTAGATGGTGTTCCTAGAATACATAGAGATACCAATAAACAGGAGTTTACTTGGGATCATCTTGGCATAACTGTTATTTATGAGTTCAGATATCAGGTAGGGCTAGGCGTGGTTCCTGGGGAATTATTTTTCTGTCACGAGAACAATATTAACAGAACAGAACAGAATGGAAAGGAATGGAACAAACCAAAGTAGGAACATGCCTATGTTTAATCTTTCAGAGGGACAGACGGAACAGAACAGAATGGTAAGGAATGGAACGAACAAAAGTAGGAACATGCCAATGTTCAATATTTCAGGGGGACAAACAGAACAGAACAGATCGGAATAAACAATTTTTAAAAGTAGGAACACTCACAGCCCTAATATCAGGATGACCCATTCAAAGAAGTAGAAGCTTGGATTGAAATCAAGGATCTGTCAGTTCTATTTCCCTATACAAAACTAGAATTAGTTAAATTTGTCATTTTACTGAGAAAAGATGGAGGTTACAGAGAAAGCATTTTTGATCTACAGATTGAATATGAACTTCATCATGACCATGTTGAGAATGGGAAACTAGCTCTGGTAATATCTCTGGATAAAACTCTGAAACTTAAAGTTGAAACATCAATAGACCAAGAGAAACAATTTGTTCATCTGTTTACTCTCACATTAGTAAATACAGAGTTGAATCAAATAGAAGGAAGATACACCGACTCACATTATCATGAATACTTAATTGATATGAAGAAAAAACAAAACACAATTTACTTGGTTGTTGAACATCCAGAAAATGAAAGTAACATTATTGAATTTGAATTTGACATGTCAACATTTTCATCAAGATTGAATTTTGATAGTGATCTTCATTCTGCAGACCTATTAACTGTAAATAATGTGGAGAGTCTTTCCATGAATTGGTTTCTCTATGTTCATCCTTTTGGAAGTTTTAGCTTGAATCTTGATGTTTCAAAAGAAAATGAGAAACTCTTTTACCTGAAGATTTCTCGCAACGGAAATCAAATTTTTCTTTTCGATTTAAAAGAAATTCCTAAACTCTATGATGAACATTAAGTCTATGAATTTCATGCAGGAAATCACAGTCTCCCTCTTTTTCGATTGTTAAGACTCCAAAGAAGCCAAAACAAAAATTTTAAACATCAAAAAGAAGAACTACATTTTCCAGTTATTGATTTGAAAATTACTATGATTAAGATAACACTGGATAAGACAACACGGGATTTTATAACAGTAGAAAATTCATTGTTTGTGTTTGCTGAAACAAATCAAAAGAGATATTTTGATTTGAAATATAAAATGTCCGAATCAAATTCTTCAGGATATGGAAATAAATTAAAAAATATGGAGATAACTGCAAAAGGATTTGATTGTGAATATTATACAAATTTCACTCACAATATTAAAATCTTTTTGGACTATAGAGATGTTGGCAATGGATTTGAAGATGTAGAACTGTTTGATGGAAAAATAGAATCAACAATTGGTGACAAGTATTTTAAACCTCTGAAAATAGAAGTGGAACAAAAGAAAATTAGTGTAAACAGTTTGATAATGTTTCAAGGTTTGGATGAGAGAGTCATCATTGTAATTGATGAATACCTTGGCAAAGCAGATTTTTTCTGGTTTAGTGGCCCAAGAGAAATCATTAGGATTTCAAGCAGAAAGCAAGTATTGTTCAGAAATAAAGAAGTAGATGTGCGAAAAGTTCGATACTTTACATCTGAAGATATTGGTATTACTGGAACTTTAACAGTGCTAATTGCACCAAATAGAGTGAAAGTTGTTTTCCAAGAGATTGAAACAGACTTGAAGGTATCAATGGAAGGGAAAAGAGAACATAATAGTGTCTATCAGATTGATAACATTGATGGATTTGGTACAATTTTGGAAGAATCTCCATTATTTAAATGGAATAGTTCTTACACAGTTCAGAACAATGGAAGTCATTTTAGGTTAGAGGGGGGTGGTAAACAATCTTTTAATAAGACAGTGAAATATGAAAATCATCGTGATCAAAACTGCCATATTGAATTATCTGAAAGTTTTATGATAGACCTTGACTTAAAATCTCCTCAGCAACTAGTTCTTCAAACAAGTCTTTCATCCAACATATTTCCTGATGCAACACTGAACTTAAATACTGCATCACTTCCTTACTATCTCACAGTTAAAGCTCCATTACCAGATCAAAGATATTTAGACATAATAATTGTTCCTGATATGTCCTTTAATAATTTCAACATACGTATCATGTCAGGTAATTATTCTTCTGACAGTTTTGAGGTTTCATTCACTCAAACACATTTTGTTCTGAATTGTGATCATAAATTGAAAAACTGTGACTTTACTTTTAATATCCCTATGCCAGATAATAGTCAAATAGAAATGCTATCCAATCCAGCGGAAGGAAATATTTTAAGCATCAAATCAAACAATGTCTTTGGCTTTAAATCATTGGAAATTGTAACAGAAGGAGAGTGGAAGAATCTTGTTCTGAATGGTCTTAATATTGCAACGTATCAATATTGTTTATTTGAAAAACACGTTAGTATAGAAATGTATGGAGTTGTGGCAAATGTGAACTGGGACTTTGCGCCCTACTACACACAAGGAAGGCTGAACACCTTCAACGTGGATTTATCAGCAAAAGGAGTATCAATATCCAGTAACCTAACCATGGACCTTAGCAGCATGATTCTTGAAATAGAAGAGACTATCAGTATTCCTCAGCTCCCAGCTATATCACCAATCAAAGCAAAGATCAAAGGGGGGACTAGGGAGAAGAGCTCAATGTTCTATCTTTCTCTTGGTGATTCAGAATTCTTGCTTGGTGCGGTTTCAGAGGTCTCTTGTGATGGTGATTCTGGCCCAGATAATTTGGATGATGATGGGATTCCAGATGATAAGGATGATAATAGTGATGGGATTTCAGATGACTTGGATATTTATGGTGATGCGATTACAGCTGAATCTGATGATGGCGATAGGATTCCAATCAATTTAAATGATAGTAGTTCTGTTCCAGATGTTTTAAATGATGATGGTTATGGGACTCCAGATGACTTGGATGATGATGATGATGATGGGATTCCAGATGACTTTGATGATAATAGTGATGGGATTTCAGATGATTTGGATGATGATGGTGTTGATGATGGGATTCCTGAGGATCTGAATAATAATTATTAAAGGATTACAGATGACTCTGATGATGGTGATGGGATTTAAAATTTCATATTATAAAAAAAAACTTCAGATGGCTTCAATGGTAATCTTGGATTTTAGTTTATTCCAAATAAGCATTTTATAAATATTTACATTTGTACTACAAAAACTTGCATGAGTAGTGGCCAATAGGAAACCTAGATAAATCAAAGAATGTATATATGTCAAATAAAATTAAATTGATGTAAATGTAATAAATGTTCCATAGCTTTAGTTTGCTAAGTGTCTTTAATTTAGCATTATTTTTTCAATGAATCCTGACAAATCTGGCAAAGTGTAATAAACTATATTTTACTTCTCAGATTTTGATAGGCCTCTAGAAATTAAATAAACTTTAATAATAAAAAATAAAAACATCTCAAGATAAATCTTATCTTTATTGCATGAAAATTACAATATTTAAATGCAGAGGACTAGTGTCTGTTTGATGAAAGTAAAAACAATTCCAAAGTTCTTGTTTTAAATTTTCCAAATAAATTTTATTTCTATTGTAAAATGTTGAAACTGAATTTATGCTAAAACTTTCGTCGATAAAACTTGATAAAGTTTATGTCTGATCACAGTAAAAATGTAGACCAAGCATACCATAACTAGGGATGTTAACATTTCATTTTTCAGAAAAACGATCGTTTCATTATGAAAATGACGACGAAAAATCGAAAACGAAACGATGGTTTTTAAAAACGATCGTTTTTTTAAAAGTTCGTTTTTAAAAATGGTCTTTTTAAACGATCGTTTTTCCAAACGCTCGTTTTTACAAACGATTGTTTTTCAAAACAATAGTTTTTATAAAATTCGTCGTTTTGTTAACGATCGTTAACAACGTTCCTTCATTAACTATCGCTAACGACGGACGTTTGTTAACGATTGTTAACAATGACCCTTTGTTAACGATTGTTAACGACGACCTTTTGTTAACGATCGTTTACGATGACCCTTTGTTAACGATCGTTTACGACAACCCTTCTTTAACGATCGTTAACGACGACCCCTTTGTTAACGATCGTTAACGAAGAGAGGAAACCGATCGGAAGGGCATCTGTACTAATCATTGAGTAGTTTTTAAGAAAATATCAAGGAGTTTTAACTCCCCCACAACTGTTAAACTTCATGTAAGACGACATTCAATAAAGTCATTGTATTTTTTTTGAAAAACAACTGTTTTGATAAAGTTCGTCATTTTGTTAACGATCGTTAACGACAACCCTTCGTTAATTATCGTAAACGACGACCTTTCGTTAATGATCGTTAATGACGACCCTTTGTTAACGATCGTTAACATGATTGTCGATCAAATTTTTTTTCAAAAACGATAGTTTTTTAAAAATGGTCGCAAATCGTTTTAATAAAAACGATTGTTTTCAACAACGATCGCTATTCGTTTTCTAAAAGTTCAAAACGAGTGGGTCGTTTTTAAAAACGATCGTTTTTTCCGAAAGCGAAACGATCTTTTCTGAAAACTTAACAAAAAACGATCATTTAACGAGCGTTAACAAAAACGATTAACAACCCTAATCATAACACCCTAACATTATAGGTTTTAAATTGTTTCTGAATAAATTGCTCATCAGACCTTTGGCTTAAGCTGTTAAGAATACAAAATTATAAAAATTTTGAAATCAGAGCGGAAGTCAGAACCCTTAATAACCAAACTAAGAATCACCCTACACCATAAAAGAAGGCTGGGCACGTTTAGACTTTTTGATGCAGTTTGTTAATGGTCAGTTAAAATCGTTTTAAAATTCTGATAGCCATTGGTTATTTAGCTTAGACTGGAACATTAGTTTTGATAACGGTATTTTCCGTTTAAAAAAAAAATACTATTATAATTTAACAAGATAATGGTGTTGATGGTACAATTTTAAGAACTCCAACAATTTTTTCATGTAAAATAGTCAGACTAATTTGAAGACAACATTCAAACACATTAAATTTATCTGAAAAAGGATCAAAATTCATGTAGAATTTATTTTTATTTTCTGTAAGTTTCATGCAGTTTTAAGTTGAAACATTAATGAAAGTCACCATGCACAATCTAAAAATCAACAGTTTTTGCCTTTTCTGAACTGACTCTTTCTTTTATTTTAAAACCTTCCTTTTTGTTGACGGTATCTTGCCCTGCCCACATGCTGAAAATGTTTACAGATGGGGTTTTCCTAATAATTCCATCTTTAGAACATTTATAGCTGGGCACATTCTTGATTTAAAAGAGAGTTCATTTTACGTTCCTTAACAAAGGCATTCATAAGCATTGTTCATTCTGCAATCATTTTACCATCTTTTTTTCTAAATTGTTCAGTCCCAAAAAATTAATGATGGATGATCTTTGACAATTTATATTCTTTTATGATATTAATTGTTTAAAATGAACAATTAGGGGGGGGGGGATGAATTTGTAAGGTGTTGATAGGGGTAAGCAGGAGGGATTAGGGGTATTTACTACACTCTAAATTAAGAAATAAAAACAATCCCATGTTTGCCAGCAAAAGTTTGATGTCTTCCATGTTAGTGATTTAAGCGACAAAAATTGCTTATTTGGGGGTCATCCAACTTTTTGCTGCCAAATAAACGTGCTTTTTTTGGTTTCTAAGTTTCCTTGTATAAGAGTCGATTACAGGGGAAGGGATAGGGGATTGCATGTACTGCATGGGGGGGGAATAAACATGGGTAAATAGTAATGTACATGATTTACAATGGTATATACCCTCTAAATATTTTTCTATGCACTTTTAAAGTGTTTATTAAAAAAATAATTCTTTTAATAAAAAATAAAAGAACAATTTATCTTTCCTAGAACATGTGTTGTTTTGTTTTCAAGGTTTAAATTCTATCTATTCTCATTTTAGTTGAAAGGTTTTTCCAATTTAACATCAGGCTTAAAAACAAATTTAAATGGACAAAATAGTTTTATAATCCAGAAAAACACATCTACTGAGTCTGAGTGATGAATCATTCTTTTATTAAAGTTACCATTTTGTTAATCAAAGATGAGTTGAATTGACTCTGTCAAGCACAGTAAATTGTTTTCATTAATTGGATCGTCCTTAATTGTACAAATAAACGAAAAAACTAATGATTTAAAATCATTAACATCCTTAGCATTTTATTTCAGTTTGACGGTATACGAACAAGTTAGAAAATTGCTACCAAATGCTTTAAAAATTGTTGTACATTTTATTAGAAACCCGGTCTAACCAACGGCCTACCCAGTTTAACTGAACCTTTTAGTGAATAAACAATTTTAAAGAATGAACGATTTTGCTATGAATAATTTTACGGAAGGATCAATTTTACTGAAGGAACAATTTTACTGAAGGATCAATTTTACTGAAGGAACAATTTTAATGAAGGAACAATTTTACAGAAGGAAAAATTTTACTGAAGGAACAATTTTGCAGTAGGACAAATTTTACTAAAGGAACAATTTTACTGAAGGAACAATTTTACTGAAGGAACAAATTTATGGAAGGACCAATTTTGCTGTAGGAACAATTTTACTGAAGGAACAATTTTATTGAAGGAACAATTTTACTGAAGGAACAATTTTACTGAAGGAACAATTTTACTGAAGGAACAATTTCACTGAAGGAACAATTTTACTGAAGGAACAATTTTGCAGTAGGAACAATTGTACAGAAGGAACAATTTTACTGAAGGAACAATTTTAGTGAAGGAACAATTTTACTGAAGGAACAATTTTACTGAAGGAACAATTTTACTGAAGGAACAATTTTACTGAAGGAACAATTTTACTGAAGGAACAATTTTACGGAAGGACCAATTTGCTGTGGGAACAATTTTATTGAGGAGTCCTACTTGAAATAAGCCAAAATGCCCTTGAAATTAGCCAAACATGCCCAGTCCTACTTGAAATAAGCCAAACATGCCCGGGCCTGCTTGAAATAAGCCAAACATCCCCAGGCCTGCTTGGAATAAGCCAAACATGCCCATTTCTACTTGAAATTAGCAAAACATGCCCAGTCCTACTAGAAAAAGCCAAACATGCCCAGTCCTACTTGAAATAAGCCAAACATGCCCAGTCCTACTTTAAATTAAAATTATGTGGGGGGCAGACTATGTTACCCATGCATGTTGAACTAACAGTTTACAGATAGGATTTCCAATGTAATAGGTTCTTCACTTACTCAAAATTATGTGCAGTTTCGTGAAACAAATTTCATTTCGTGTAATTTTGCAGGATTACGCAAAATTGGCAAAACTTCAGCGAAATTTCGCGAAATGTTGTAACTACTATGCGTAATTAGAGAAACTTCAATTTCGCAAAATTACGGCGTAATTTCTGCAAGGTAATTTCGAGAAATATTTAATGCATAATTAGAAAAACTTCAATTTCTCAAATTACGCGAAACTAGACTTTCTTTCGTATTCATAATTAACACATATAATTTCGCGTAATGCTCCTCCATAAGTGAAAGAAAGTGTTACGCATAATTACGCGTAACATAATTAGGACTGGAAACCCTATTTACAGACTAATTTTCTCAACGTTTTTCTTGAGTTTTCAAAAAGTAAAAAAATTTTATTTTCCACTTCTGACTTTACTTTAAACTTAGTTGCAAACTTTATTGCAGACATCAGCACATGGAATTTGCGAGGAGCAGAATTCAAGTGTGCAAAAATAATGTTTTTTTTCATTTTAAACATAAAAAACATAAAAATATGAATATATCAAGAGAAAATGGCTGAAACAGAATTTCAACATTTTGTTTGGCCGTGAATTTAGGATGATGAACAATGATTTTGCAGATCTAGTGCATGTTATGTATTTTTGTAATTGTTTAACGTCAAATCGGTTTGGCTATTTCTCTCTAAAACTTACAAAAAAAACATTTTGAATTTTTCTGTTTGATTTTTTTTTTAAATCGGCCAATATGGGTATCTAAAGCTGTGCTTTGAACAAATTAATATTGCCCTTTTGTTGTTTGATTGTTTGATCTTGATTGTTGGATCTAGGGCCAAAAAACAAGCTTTTTGAAGGACAAATTTCAATTAAAAAGTCTGTTTTTGCCTATTTTTGGCTCAATTTTTAACAAATTTTTTTTGATTTTTCCTTTTTGAAATTCAGTGTTTCAAGGCGGATTTTTTTAAAACTCATATTTTGAAAGAAAATTTTT